TTCATTGCAAACTAGAGCTCGAAAGCAACAAGTAACTGTGATTTTCCTTTTTGAGGCCCTTTTTCTTGGTGCAGACCGATTTCCTTTTGTAATTTCTATGTTTGTTTTTATTGAGGGTGACGCCAGCAAGGAGTAAATTTCTATTTATCATTATCGTAAAATCCAAGGTAGAAGTAACCTTAGGACCCCAAATTCTTGAGATTTAACCTTTTCAATTCATAGACTAACCTTAATTTTAAAAAACAAAAATGCAAATTGCAATCTCTATATACTTGAAAATAATATTGCAACTAGATTCAATAGGAGACTTCAATTTTTAGAGGGTGAGATCCAAGTGCTAAAAGATTCAAAATTCTTTTTTTTCCTTTTAAAAAATATTATTCTTAGGTGGGGCTCAAAATTTCATATTAAAAAATCCTTCCAAATGCTACGTCTTTTGACTGAAGGAATAAAGTAGTAGGGTGCTTGCAAGTTTTGGTGCTTTGAAGTTAGGCAACGTGATTGAAATCCCACTCAAAGGAGATTTCTGCAACTTATTCCTTATTTGGGTTAGGTAACATCAATATGGAATTCTTGAATCTTTTTTTTTTTCTATTTATTATTTTCTTCTTTTTTTTCATTTATTTAATACTTATAATATCTCTATCCCCTTGATGCTTGGCCCATGCCTTGCCCACATGTCCCCGAGAAGCCAACATGAGGAGTCAAATTGACAAGTGGTTGAGAAATGTGGATTCTACTGCATATATTCATTGATGGAACAAAAGAGGGCCAGGAGAACTCATTCTTGGCCAATTTCTTTTAGGAAAATGGTTTGATAGGCCTGCTGCTCTATAAAATAAATAAAATTTCACCTCATCACTCATCAAATATTGCCATTCAAGCCTTAGAAAACTTTTAAATCGATCATCTCATCTTGAAAATTATGGTTGTGAAAAAAAAAAAGCAGTTTGAGTTTTAAAAATAATGTATATTGCAACAAATCCTCTAGACCATCCATTTCACCCTAAAAATAAATGTTCACAGATCCACGAGAAAATTGATTAGCCATCATGAAAATTTCCGATATCCCAAGTGCTTTTCCGGATTAAGATTTAAGGTGAGGCATTTTTTATTTTTTTTGGTCACAAAGTCTAGGCCCTGTAAAAACTTCATCCTTTCTTTTGATCTTCTTGATTGCTTTATATTCTCTGTTTTTTCTGCTTATTCTTTACTTAGCTGATGCCTAACCGGTTGGAAGCAATTTTAAAAAAATGGATCGAAAAAAAAAAAAGGAGGGAGATAAGCAAAGAAATTTATACGTCATATAATATATGCATTTTTAATCATTTGGAAAAAGCAAAGTAGTGGTTAGAGTATCTTTTCACTTTCCAAATAAATGAGTTTTAACTTATATGAACTGGCCAATTCCTACTCATAACCAACACTAAGTTTACCGAATTTTTTTATATGAACCGGTCATCTCAAGTCCAGATCAGCGAGTTTTGAAACACTGATTGAGGGCAACCAGTTTGTGAAATTTCTGTTAATTTTATCTTACCACTTGCAATCTCCCTCTCCCTCTCCCTCTCCCTCTCTCTAGGTGGGTGCGTTTTGACACACACCTGATATTGTAAGTCCACCTTCGCAAGATCTATCTTGGAGAAAGATTTTCTGGATCCAAAAAGTTTGCAGGTCTATCATGTCCACCACCACAATCATGTCTTTCAAACAAAAGATAAATAAACAAATAAAACTTGAACTTAAAACTTTTTTTTTACCCTTCATTTTAATTCTTCAAACATCATCATATCATTCCAATTTGATGTCTCCTCCGAAGAGATAGTCCTTCAAACATCATCATGTCTGCATTGTTTTGAGCTACAATTTCGTTGATCTGAAGAGGAAATAAATTACACTTATTTGGGATGTGTTTCCGGTCCTAAATCACTAAAAAAATTAATGTTACTCATAACTCGGTTGACTCACAGAGTACTTTTCCCTCAATCAACCCCACCCACAATGAACATTATAACATTTCTATCCTGGTGAGGTTTGTATAAGGTTGGCGCCTTAAACAATCAAAGTAAGACGCACACTGAAATGATGTGAAAAAAGATGCAGTTGAGATCCGATAATGTTCTACAAATCTATTTTCATATCTAATTATGAAATTTAAAGTTTTAAAAGTAGCATAGATCGAGGAGATCTATGAACACTTGAAAATCTTTGAAATAGACGGTCCATATAATACATTACAAGATACATTATTTTCAAGATTTGAAATCTTTTTTCACATCCAAATATCTCAAGGCTCATATGACCAAATTGAGGGTTTTTTTAGTATCAAAACAATCTTTTTTCAGCGAGTTTTTGAGATGCGACTTATTTCTATGGTATATATAAACATTTTCCTTCTGTCCATATTATTTTTTTCTCTCTCTAGATTGCCGACGTGAGGAAGGATAATACAGGAGCCCCTCCCTCTCTCTCTCTCTCTCTCCAAGGATTAAGGACCTAGTATTACAAAGCTCCATGATCTGTTGGAGTGGTAGCTCATCACTTTCAAGGAAACAAACAAAACACCTCTTCTCCAACTAGCCTCTGCCGGCTGGCTTTCCCACCTATTCATAGTGACATTTCCTCTTGATTTTTTGTGGTTTGGTGAATTTGGGACCAGGCAAATTTGGACCCCCAAATACGCCTCAACCACACAACAAGATCCAAAGGCTAGAGCCACGAGCTTGCCCCTCAAGGGCCAACTCTTGCTTCTTAATCATATTCTGTCTTCACAATTCATGAAGCTATGATACAATTGAAATTACAAGTTCTTGGGTTTTTTCATAGCACATAATGTGGTCATAAGGAGCACAGGTGCTTTGCATTCGCGTGAAAATTTTATCTCGAAACCAACGTATTTTATATAAAAAAAAAATCAATATTAACACAGTTTAAGACTTCAACTTAATGGTTCAAAGAAGAGATTAACAGGAACTGAAAGACTTTTAAGAAAAAAGGACTTGGGTCAGAACTCACAATCGTGCAAACCCGAGTAAGGTCTCACAAACTCGACCGAGTCCAATAAAAAAATAAAAATATACTGGTCTCATATGCTTGGTTGTGAGCTCGGCAACCTGCAAAGCTCTAGTAACTCGGTCAAGTCAGAGTCGCCAAATTTTACAATACTGATTGGGAGGCCGAAAAAAGGACCTTCACAAGATCATTACTCATGAAATACGTATCATGTGTGCAGTTTGTAAAAGTGTCCAACTTAGAGAGTCAAACCAACCTTGTGATTGTCAAACCAAAATGCCAAACGCATGCATTGTAGACTTGGGGGTAAGAAGGTGAATGTCAACAGTTTTTTCTTTCTTTCTTTCTTTTTTTTGTTAATTTAGTGATAGGAATCAAATTTGAAATGTAGTATTGCTAACATCAAACTGCTAACCGCTCGAGCCCAATCCTTTCTATAGAATGATAATTATAAAGGTAGGTCGGCTAATTTGAGTTATTGGGACTAATAAAAACAATGAACCCTTGATCCCCCTCACCCAAGATTCTCAAATTTGGGGTTTCGAGAGTGAAACGCAAAGAACCATGATTTTGTTTGTATGATTAACACATAAGATTAATCGATACATAGTCTGTGTTTCGGACTGATTTTGGGATTGAAGATGAGAGAGGTAAAAACTAAAAAGCTTAACAAAATAATTGGCCTTCTCCGAGAAGTTCATTTAGATTGTACAGCTAGAAACAACCTGTAATATATATTTTATCTGGGTGGTGCCACTTGGAAAGCCTCTCCCATTAACAGAAGCGGGGCTTCTTTTCGCTTTCCCAAATGGAGGAAAACATCTTTTCCCCAAAACTTAATTTATTTGAAAACTTGAAGATTAGTAAAGCAATAACAGAATTCATTCATGTAATATTCAGATAAGGGTGCGGTTTGTATAAGGTTGAAGCCCTAAACAATCAAAGTAAGGCATACTTTAAAATAATGTTGAAAGATGATATTTTTTAGTAACACAAGTCTTTTGTGATGACCTGCAAATTTATTTTCATATCAAATTATAAAATACAAAGCTTCAAAAATAGTATAAATCGAGCAGATCTATAAACACTTGAAAATATTAAAAATTGATGGTCCAGATAATGGATAGCAAGATGCAAAGTTTCCAAACTTGAAATCCATAAACACTTGAAAATATTAAAAATTGATGGTCCAGATAATGGATAGCAAGATGCAAAGTTCCAAACTTGAAATCCATTTCATTCATGTCTATACATCTCGAGGTCAAAATAGCCTCTTTTAGTAAATTTTTGAGACGCACCTTAATTTGATTGTTGAGGGCCTCTGTATAAACTTTCTCTTTAAGATAATGACATCTTGATTTTGGACCAATACGGTTGGAATTTGGGGTTATAGTAGCCGACATTTGTATGGTAGCCACCAACCTTGCTTTTCTTCTTGTGGTGTTAACTTTAGACCTTGCAAGACTAAGAGTAGGGTGCTTGTGGCCACCAACCCCACATTGGATTGAAGTGTTCTGCAAGGGAACAAACCAATAGCCACCAAATCTTAGAAAGCTTTTCTGAAATAGTCAGATCTCTAATTGAATTAAAGACCAAAGTAGATTAAACTTAAGGCTACAGAAGTAGGGTTCCTTATGGACTTTGTGATATTTTCAGTGGGGTAAATCCGTATCATTTATTTCTCTTTAGAGAAACCTCCTTAACAGGAAATTACTGGGAGATTTTTAAGACTTCAAGTATTCCCAAGAGATTTCTTAAGAATCTAGAGGGGAGTTAATTTTTAATTATTTTTTGACAATAGAAAAGATTAAAAAGAATATAATTTATTTTTTCACCATTTCTTTCTAATATGAGTCTCTTAAGTACATTAGATCTTTATTATATTTTAAGTGGCTAATACTCATTCTTAAATATCTACTGTAGAATTATATTTTTGCATTTAACCATGAATTTATTTTAGAAAAAACTGCAAGGAAACGAAAAACATGGGAAGGAAACTCTAATTTATCCCATCATTAAATTAATTTGTCTCAGACAAATAGCTTGAGCCTGCAATGAATCAGACAAATTGAAAGAAAAGAAAAAGAAACAATTTACACGGAGAGAAACAAGCAACTCCCCGACTCTCATTCAAAAAATCTCGCAATAACCAGACTCACGACAACAAATGCAACATAGAGCCCAACCAGGCAGAACCCCCAGAACCTGGGCACCCAGAACCTGAACCACGTAACCACAAGTATTGAACCTAACAAACTAATGAACAAAAACACAAATGCCACCGCAATGCTCGCATGGAACTTGAGCTCACACTCCTCAGGGTACACATCCACTGCATGTGCTGTGAGGGCCCCACCAAGTCCTATCAGCATATTAAACATGGGGCCTGCAAAGCACCCGGCCACCGCCATGGCAGGCTGGCCCGCCCTCGCCACCGCTACATCAGCTACCAGGTCACCGACTGAGTTCCCCCAAGCCAGGACAGTAAGCCCAAGCAAAGAAGGAGAAATCTTCAAAACAATCCCGATGGCTTGCAAGCAATCGAGGAGCTCACCAGCAGCAAGAGAGATCCAAAAGATGCTCATGAGAAAGGCGATGAGAACTGCAGCTTTTGGAGTGTTTTGGGGGGGTTTGGAGAAAATGGTATAGTGGGCAAGGGCGAGAGAGAGGGATTGGAGGAGAACAAGAGACCACAGGGGGAGGGCGAGGATGATGGGGTAGCCAAGGGGGATCAAAGAGTTGCATGCGTAGAGAAGGACGAGGGGACAGAGGGCAACGTTGGCAGAGGTGTAGAACCGACTCCATTCAGAGGGCTCGCTCGAGGGGATAGTGAGACGAAGGAGGGTGGAGACTGGGACCTCCCACAAGTTCGAGACCTGATTGAAAACAAGGAAAAGCAGGATCAGAGGGGTTCTCCCTGACAACTGTCAACAAGTACATGAAAGAGAGGAAGGTGGGGCGGCTGAGGAGCCATGTCAGCCAGGTACTTAAACTAGGACACCCACTAAGTACAAAAGTACAGCTAAGTTTGCTCCGAATGGAACTGAACGCAGTCAAAAGACACATTACTAAACAAAGTAACTTCTACAAGATTGGAGATAACTAAGATAAAAGATGAAACATGTCCAATAGATTGAACCATATGAATATCTTAAATCTTGGAAGCAATAGGATTCAGCTGTGAATTTCAACATCCCCATATAGACTTCATTCTTTTAATCAAATGCGAAATGAATAAAAACATGATCTAATTACTTTGAACTAAAACTAATCCTGAAAGCCAAAGCAGCTCAACATTTCAACAAAATACACAATTTTGCTTTTTTTATTTTAATTGCAAATGTCTCCTAACATCAAGCACTCTGATTCAAGGCATATGAGCTTCCTAGAAAATATAAATGTGATCGCCACCAACCACATCATCCCACAAAGACTTAATAGGTTTGAAAACCGATGAGAGAACTAACTACAAGCCCAAAATTTCTAATAAAAAAGAGAAGACTAGCAATCCACAAGCTAAAGAACCTTCAAATCCAGAAAAGGCTAACATGCAGAGTAGTTCGGCTTCCTCCAAACAGGCAAAATTGACGTCAAACACCAAAATAGTATTAATCCAGCACATCCTCTTACAATCAATACCTCCCAAAGGGGGTGACACTCATCACCCTTGGAAAGCCATATGCATTCATAATCACAAGAAAACTGATCCACTTATGCTCACCAAAATAATCTAAAGCTCAACATGAGTCCTAGGAATGCAAGATATAAATGCATACCAATTATGCAGAGTAACTCCTTTACCATCCTACCACAAATGTCACCATCTCTAATGAATGAATTGTCTAAAAAGTTGTATTCCCAATTAGTGTATCATCAATAGATCGTCTCAAATGAAACTCCCAAAGATGACAATGCCCAGCAAAAAACCCTTAATATTCCATAATAAAGGATTCATCGGAATATATTGGAAATTCTAGATCGCTTTCATGTCATCCAAGATGTGGTGGCCTTGAGTAGCATGAGAAGAAAACCAAACTGGGTCCCCCGACGAAGATATAAAGACATTGATAATTATTGTCCACTATGGCCCAAGATCCAAACCTTTCTCTCCAGCAACCAAAGGCATCTACAAAAACATTATTGACCATTCCATTACCCACAAGGTTAGGCCCCTAAAACAGATAGAAAGGCACTCCCATAAAAGCCTCATGAATTGAACCTGAAGCACAAAAGCATTACCCAATGGATGCATGTTCCAACCTCGGATATTAGTATCCTTCAACCTAACCAACTCTTAACAACCTTCTGAAAGCTCAAGGTATAAGTCTCTGAGAGTCTGAGACCTTTTTAAATCCCAAAACTTCAATAATGATCAAAATATCTCTAAAGACCCTGATCGACTGAATTAAACCTTAGACCCTAGCTTCAATTTATCCAAAAGCTGGATGGATGGTTCCAAACTAATAAAAGGGCCGTAACCCAGTGCTGGTTCCACCTAAGCAAGGTCCCGGGTGGGGTGGACTGGAAACAGTCCTAACATTTGGCTTATACACAAAGTGGCCACTCTCAAGACTCGAACCCTCGCTCTTGCGCTGGCTACCCAAGCCTTTTACCATCACACTAAGTGACGACCCCTTTATTGATGGTTCCAGACTAACAAGTATTTAAAACCGAGATATATTGATCCCAAATCTCCACAAAAGATCCGCAAGTCTCTTACTAGCCAGAGGCTACTCTTAAACCCATCCATTAAACTCAAATAAGATCTTAAATGTCCACCCACATGGGTTACAAGGACACAATGCAAATGTAGCCAGAAAAGATGGGAAAAGAATTGGTTCTAGTCAGGTCTTAATCCCTCCAAACGTCAAAAAGGCCACTCTTGGTTAAGTGAAGCAGTTAAAGTTTTCTAGAAGCTGATTCCTCAAACAAGCTCAATAACATAGTGACGGAGTAATCTACCTCTGACAGCCACTCTTGGTTAAGTGAAGCAATTAAAGTTTTCTAGAAGCTGATTCCTCAAACAAGCTCAATAACATAATGACAGACTAATCTACCTCTGACAGCCACCCTTAACCACCTTTAAACTACTTATGAAAAGGGAAGTTCAGGGCATCCAAATCATATCCTCCTAGTGTATGTCGTACAGTTTCAAACAGAATTTCATGAGAGAGATTCAAAGAAGCAAGCAAACCTTTGTTCAGCCTTAGCAACAAATCTGGCATCATCCTGCATTTTAAATTGTCTTTATCTCTTTGATGCACTTTTGTCAAGATCCACAAAGAACGGGTATGGTTTCAGACACGGGAAGCAGGTAAACGAACAGCTTTTCCAAAATCCAGGAAACAGATACGGCTGGTGGTATCCCACTCGACACATTGAAACCATAGGATACAATAAAACAGGAAAAACAATAAATATGAATCCAAGAAACTAAATCTCACGGTTAGAAAATGACTTGGGAAAAGGACTAATGATAACCTTATATTCAAAGGTAAAGAGTCTTACGACAATGAATGTGCAACTCAAAAGTATCAAATGGACTTCTAAGTGTTCTACTTACAACACTTAAATTTCAAAGCTACAAATGAAAAATAACTGATCAACAAATAGTTGAATGTATTTATATATATATATATATATATAGGGTTATATTAGGGTGCTCATAATATAGAGTAATTTAGCATTGTACTCAACAAATTTGGACACTTATATACCTTTGTTTGGTGCATGGAGCATCTTTTTTAATAAGGGTATTTTTTATCATGAGGGGTGTGACATCATCCACAAGGGTCGTGACATCACCCACATGGAACACACTAGTGGTGTTTAATGCTCCATGTGGGTGATGTCACACCCTTGGTGGAAGATGTCACACCCCTCCTATTGACCAAAAATACCCTTACTAAAAAAAACTCCATTTCCAAAACAAGGATATGTAAGTGTCCAAATT